GTATTTTTTCTGTTTTCTTGAGGTATTGTAATAAACTGACCGCTGTGTACATTTCCATTACCTAGGCTCAGCTGATTATGCTAGTTTTACTCAGCTTATGGTAAATAGTTACATTTCAATACAGAGATGGACATTGTTAAAAGATGAAATTACCACCCTTGCCGAGAGTTCTGGAGCAGAAAGGCCACAGGACTGTAAAGGAGAGCACGTGCACTGATAGTGAGAGGCAAAGGCACGGCTGACGCTCCAGAGGATGAAAAGAGTCACGGTGGCTGCCTGTACATTTTTAATCTTGTTAGCACCTGTATAAGGTGACCTTTATTGTGACAGAGTCTTTTAAGCTCAAATCTTTTTGTGCTCTTCAGTGGGCTATGAGCAACTTGAAAAGATTCGAGTCAGAAGCTACAGATTTAACTCTTAAAGACAATTTCTTTGTGAGGTTCTGCCAGATTACATAGATATTTCACCATCTGATATTTGCAAACTTGAAAATTATTTATTTAATTCAGTTCTCGGGTCTTTTTTCTTGGTTTTGGTGACATTAAGAATATATTTTAAAAACTACTGCTCGTTATAAATAACAGATTGTGTTTGCATGGAAACAGGAGATTGATGTAATAACTGAGGGTTTACTCCAAACATGTAGTGCTTTCATTTATTATGCTGCCCACAAAAGTACACTGTTTTCATTCTGAATTATGCTCTGGAAGACAAAATCAAAACATTTTTAATGCTTTCCAAAGGTTTCTGGTTTGCCTTAAAATGTTGAACGACATTACGAATATACAGTTCATGCATGACTAAGAAATTACAAGAGTTGGTGGCTTTATCCCAAGAAGAATGGACTGTTCAAACAACAGAGAAGTTTAGGAACCTCATGGAGAACTACCTCAATAGATTTCAAGCTGTTATTGATTGGGGGGGTGGGGGGTGGCATAAATTAATAAGAGCTTGTGATGCAAACTTTTGAATATGATCATTTGGAAGGTTTTAAAAAGAGTTGTTTGACAAGAAATGGTTTCAACCAACCACTAACAATGAGTGGGAAAAACAGCCTTTGTGTTACCATTCATATTATCTGAAAATATGAGCACTCCTGTATACAACCCCTCACGAGAATGTCCACTTTAGAGGCGAAGGATCTGGAATTGGTTCACACTGCTGGTAATTTAAAACAGCATTCTTACATTTGTAGGAATTTTTGGGTAGAGTCTCTAGCACCTTTGAGCAAAAATAGCCAGAAAATCGAATGAACTAGTTTGCAAATCCTCATATCTGTATCATTTTGACACAAGATATCTACTTATATTAACTTCACCTGATGAAAGATTACCTCATTTGCACCAGCGCACACACACACACACACACACGCACGCACACGCACACACACACACACACACACTGCCATAAGTACTCTAGAGAGGCATTTCAGCAGCGTCTCAGGGGGATTTTTGCAGACTTCCTGAAAACTCATGGATCCCAGGAGAGACACAACACTACATCACAGCAGACTTGTATTGAATTTTTGACTGCTTACAAATGTATTTTGTTGTAGATTAAACTCCCTAAGCTAAAAAATGTGAATTTGTATGAGGACATATCGGACATATCTACTTCTTTTAAGTCTTTATTTTGTTTTGAGTAAGCATTACATTTACCATAACAGATAAACATGGGACTTAATGAAGGACATTATTAGTACTTAAAAAAAAAAAACTATTTTATACCGTTTAGGCACTTCTGTAAACTTTCATGATTTTCCTTTCCTTCCTTGTTGAAATTTCAATTAAATATATCATATAGAAAGCAAACACAGTAATATTTGAAAAGTGAAATAAAGTTAAAATGATGTATGGAAAATGTGCAACAATTTTTTGAACAAAAAAGGTCTCTTTATGAAATTTCTTATTGAAACTACCAATGATTTAATAAGGAAAATCATGAAAATTTACAGGGGTGCCCAACATTTTGCATATGACTGAATGAACAGAAATTTTGGGTACTCAAGACATTTTGTCTTAAAGTTTACCCTTACAGTTGACCCAATTTTAGCACATCTCTGAATCATGTCAGACTCTTCTGTAGTTACAGTGTGTACTAAATTCAACAGAAAATATATATATTTTCTTTTTTTTCAGATGTGGAGAACTAATAATCGAGGAACTTTGCAGCTCAAGCATACAGGTGCAATTATACTTTTACACATTTATGAGCCCAGCACTGGACTGGATAGATGTCTTCTATTGTCCATATTATCGCCATTAGGAATTTTTATTTTTAAAGAATTTGTATTATTTTATTAGGGATAGGGTCTGTTTCAACAGTATTTTTTGGTTTTCTCTGCTGAAAAGTTCTGAAACACCGGTGAAGAAGACTCATCAATGGGGATCGACCATGTTCAGATATTACTTTCTATTTTGCAGGAATCCAAGCAGGGAGGTCCCAACTTCGATCTCTGTGGACACATCTACAAAAATAATCCAGTGTGCTGCAAAGCTGAAACCCAACATTTTCAATCGAGTTAATTCACGCAGTACAGATATGCTGTGAAGATAGATAAATACATATCTATACGTTTGATTTAGAAAAAAGTAACTTGTGAAATAATGTATGAACTGAAAGAAATATGGAATGAAAATGTTGAATACATGTACCTACTGTTGTTGGGCAGCAACTCAAAAACACATTGTAAAACAAAACAAAAAAAACTGTTATAAACTATATTTTGCAGTACAAAATTTATTGAAATAAATGTACAGGATTGTTTACAGTGTCACTCACCTACGGGTCATAGAAGCATTCTTTCCAGCATGTCCTAACTATTCCCTAGGACCTCACACTGACTGAATAAATCAGCACCCAGGAAGCATCTGAAATCGAGACCTGAGCCACCTCAACTGGCTTCTCTTAATATGGATTAAAGGCTCTGTTCCCGTGTGACATAAACCTTACCTCATCACAATGTAAGTCCTCTCAGAGGGAACACCTTAGCACAATGAGGAGGAAGTTGATGTAAGCAATTTGTGTCTGATATATCATTTTGTTGACCATGAATCAAAGCTCATGAGCAACGTTGAGAGATATTATAAGAATATTAGAACTCGACCAGACATTTTCATGTGACGATAAGCAAAGAAATAAAATGGCACAAGAAACAAACATCAAAATTCAGTCTTTTTAAAACAATTTTGATGAGTGCCAATCTGATGCAACAATAGAATATTATTTAATCAGAGACTGAGATAATGACGAGCTTTGATTTAAACTAAACCTGTTCACGGAGTTTGTTTTTGTGTTTGTATGATTGATGATTGCGGTTCACAAGAGATGTTGATTAATACGCTGATTAGAATGGACTGATGCCAAACGCTCCTCTCTTAGTGTAATGAATCTCATTTTGAGATTCTCAGAATAAGAACGTTGTGCTGGCTCAGAAACATTTACTGATCTCAGACTATTGTTTTAAATGTGACTAGAATATCACAAGAGTAATACTAATGTATACTTTATACAAGTCTTGCTCACCCAAATATTTCTCACTTGCAGAATATCTCTGTGGTTTGTATTTTTGTATTGTGTTACGTATCAGGGAACGTAAACCGGTACATGCTGGCCACATTAATTTGTCAATTAAAAGATCCCTGTATAAGCAGGCTCTTCTTTTTTATTCAGTCCGAACCTTCTTCTCACTCCCACCTTCCTCCACTTTACCATTCTCTGCCTATTCGTCACTCACACTCACAAACTCAAGGGAGGTCCAGATAACTCCTGAAAATGAAACTCTCTTTTTTATCATAAGTTTGATTTCAGCTTGATCCCAGATAATATATGTCAAAATGATCGACAGCTTTATTGCTTTACGAAGTTATGTAAGTCGGCTGCAGAAGTGGAGCTCTGATACCATTGCTATAACTTTTGTTCCTGGACTAGACATTTCACACTAAATATTACAAAACAAAAAGCAAAAAGAAAAAAAATAGCCAGTGTCAGAAAGTGAAATCGTTTTGTCCATATTTAAAAAAAAATCTAAAATTCATCCCAAATACACCCAGGAGCAAGGCCTCACATTTTAACCTTTCTTCTCATTTTTTTTATTGTGTAACCTTTAACCTTTTGTTACATATTTTTCTAACCCAGAAAAAAATTTAACCATTTTTTTACTACTTTAAAATCTGTGTATATACATTTAATAAATTACCTAATGCTTATATTGGTGATTGAATTATATATATTTTTTTCAGTACAACCCAGCTTTTTTTATAATATTTTTTCCTTCCATCACACAATAATAAGCCTGAAATTGTTAAATGTAGTAAATGTTGTCAAAAATCTCAAGAAATGTAGAAGGAACAGATTTTATATTTTTTAACAAAAATCAAAAAGCAAAGAAAAGGTCAAAACAATGTGAAAACCTGATACAGGGAGGTGAAACCTTATACACTTGTCCATTTTCTCACATTTTATTTTGAATTACCGGTACCTTGCAAATGATGTGTCAATAAATCTAAAAATATCATAACTAATAACCTTTATGAAACTTACACATTATATTTCAAATTTAAAATGTAAAATCTAAATTAAACAATAGGTAGGCTGCATCATTCCTACTTATTTCAAAGCTGCCGACACATGCACCGGTGCATACAGATTACTGAAAGTAATAGTTTAATACAAAAATGATAAATTATTACATCAGAGGTAGTGTTCTGTTGATTGTTTTCAGGAAATCTGGCTAAAGTTATTTAAAAAAAATCAAATTTCTCTACGTTAATGACAATATAAGACAAAAAATTGTGTGTTAAATTTTTGTATGTATATACAAATTAATATAATATTAGCCCTGTGTCCCAACTAGCCTCCCCTCTTTTAAGAATATGGTGAATTTGCCAATTTATGAATTGTACAAAAATAATAATCTCTGAGCGTTTATTGCAGAGGGGTGTGGATTCTAGTGCTACCATTACATTTATTCAAAGTGAATTATATTTTTAATGAGTTCTTGCTTTCCCTGGGATTCAAACCCACAATCTTTGTGTAGCTGTAACACAACGCTCTACGGAATGAGCCACAGGAAAGCTGATTTGTACTCTACAGTTTTATATTCTTGCAAAGACAAATATAAAAATATGTATAAAATATATAAAAAATATGTCTTTCGCTTTTCCACCGGGCCATTTTCTTTTCATCATTGTTCGGAATTGCAGAGCAAACACTAAAAAAAAAGGCTAAAAAAAACGGGAATTCCATATCAAAGTATAAAGATTGAAGATGAACAGACACACCATTTATTAGAAAATTATTATTATTATTAGATTGTTGATTATTTTAATTGGTGTTGGTTGGCAAGTGGTTGCTGGAGCCAAGCAAAATTAATTATTTCTTTGTGAATATAACAATATCTGGGCAAGATAACTGCTGACAGATTCCTACAGTACAGCTTGATCTATATTTAGCACCTCTATGATAGAAGTTCATGTGCTCAGCGTGAGATTTTGCTGAACTGTGGGACTCTGAGCAGGTGTTCACTAGAAACACTGCAGAGTGATTCTTTTATGTAATACATCTGTCTAGGGCATCAGCCCCTGACTTTTTCTTCTTTGTTTTCGAAAACAATGGCATCTAGACTTGCTATATGTGGAGCTCAGCATAATTAATTTGTAGCTGAACTGATCTTTCTTTCGGGTCTACCCAGAGGAGCCTGTTCAACACGATGTAATAAAATGATAAGAAACCCTTTATCACATACAACACATGTGGACAATTTATATGCACTGGCAGCCTGGAAGGTTTTACATTGCTAGTCTGTTATGATTAATACTCCTTGGCATATTATATATTTATGTGGATTGGGATGGTGGAAAATCACATCAATAGCAAGTTTTACTTTGCTGAGGATTTTTAAAGTTAGTACATTTTAAGTATTTGCAGTGTTTTTATTATTATGCCAGTTATTTAAAAGTAAAAATAGAGCTAATAAAAACCCTTGTATTTACTTTGTCAAGAGGTGTCAATGAAAGAGTGTTTTCCATCCATTTCACAATAGAACTAAAATGATGAAGTGTATAGGACATGGAGTGATTCAGAGAACCCCCATCAATCATAAAAAAATTATTTTCCCACTTGTTCCTTTTCATGGTCACAGGGTTCTATCACCTCCTCACATCGTGCGAGGGAATTAAATTTAGCTCATTTTTGGTCTTTTGAAAAACAAGAAAGTACTCAACCACACAAGCACAGTGAGACTATGCAATGTTCTAAAACCAAAGTCTTTCTCACTGAAAGGCCCCACTGTTACCCACTAACCACAGAATCATTCAATAATTCATTTTCCAACCCGCTTATTCCATTTTTGGGGTCACTGGGGTCTGCCGGTGCCTTTCTCCAGTGCACATTGGGTGAGAGGCGGGGGTACAGCCTGGACTGGTCGCCAGTCCATCGCAGGGCAATATTCACACACACATTCACACCTAAGGGGAATTTAGATTATTCAATTAATCTAACCGCATGTTTTTGAGATTGTGGGGGAAACTGAAGTACCCGGAGTTAACCCACGCAAGCACAGGGAGAACATGCAAACTCCTTCCAAGAAGGTCATTGTGCGAGCCTCAACGATGCTTATTTGTTTCGATCAGAAGAAACTTTGCAGTTAAGTCACATCTTTAGACTGACGTCAGGTCATTGAAGTTTTTCTTTCTTTCGATGCTTCACCACATTTGCAAGCATTTTTTTAGATGAGCCAGAGAAGAGAATGTGACATTGGACAAAAGGGAATAGTCTCTATCTTTTTCGTCTTCAATGCAACAGCTCTGGATTGTCAGGAGGAGTGAGAAATGAAAGAGGAGTGCAGAAAGAGCTGTCTCGCTCGACACACCACTGCTGCTGTGAGGATCAGAAGAGACGGAGTGACATGAGAATCAATCCCATGAATCCCTGTGTGCTTGTCAACAGTCAGATTAGACCCTGACTATGCCTGCCACCTCATGAAGAGCATGACGGGGAAGAAAATAGAGAATCGAGGGAGGGATGCATTCACAGTTCTGTCTGATTGCAAAATAGGGGCCTTCATTCTTCTTTGACCCTGTATAGGGGTCACATGCACTGTGCTCAAAGCAGCAGAAGAATTTTGGTTCTGCGCCACTGCCGTCTTTTGCTCAGTTGCGGTCAGCATAGCTGAATAAAAATGCACCAAATCACTAAATAGTATCTTTATCATCATCCCTCAGGTACTGAGCACAAAATGAAGAAACAAACACTGTATTGTAGAGGCAAGAACATTGGTCAACTTTTGGCAGTAGAATCATACATTTTGAAAGTGCAACAGTCTTTTGGAGTAGATCCCTGGTATTGAGCAGGCCCTGCTTAGACATCTGGAAAACCTCAGATTTGCCATAGTTCTGTTTTTAAATGGAAAACAAGTGTATAGGGTATATACCAGATCTGATGTGAATTTCCATCATGGACAGTATGTGGTGGCCGAATACATCATGGCCTGGGAGCCTGGAGCATGTTGTGAATAGATCGGTATCTTTAATGTAAATATATGTGCCAGATCAAAGGGGTAATCCGGAGTTGTAGTCTGATCAGCAAGATTGTGAACAAGAATCCATGCAGATCAGTTTATAAAGCATTTAAAAATGCAAATGACCATTTCCTGCGAGAGCTGTGATGTCATCAGTCCCACAGCAGTAACATTTTGATGCTACTATCAACCATACAGTCACGTGCAATCAGTGCCAACTCAAGTTTGACAAAAAATGGTTCTACAGAAAAATATCACTCAATAAATAAGATGCTCAATATTGCAGTCTTTTATTTACCGATCTATTAGAATAAAATCAGGTTCTATTTAAAGATGCTATTTTATTTTCTGATCACAATTTTCCAAGTTCAATTGAATAATGAGTTGTTGAGTCATTGATGAAACAGCAATCAATGAACTGCAGCATTTAAACATGAACTGACACACTAAATAGCCATTGCCCACTGATGGGAACATATAACAATGTATTCCAGAGAAGACAGGAGAGGGCTTGAAGCCCAAATAATTACTAAAAATTAATGAATAACACATTACAGATACGTCTCGGTGTTCTCACTGCATTACGTAACAGCAAAGCACATTAGGCTCCCGTCGTCATGTGTTCGCTCACGTGCTCTTCCTTGTGACGTTGTCTCATATATGTTCTTAAAAATGCAAATTAGCTGGGGCGTAGTTCCATTTGCCTCTGGCCTTTTGGGTGACCCTCATGTCCAGCATGAGTTGTTAGCCTCCTGGAATGGTGGATTGTCTTTGATCCTCTGCACAAAAGAAAAAGGCACTTGGGGTGATAACACAGGTCTATAAAAGCATCGTATTGATTAATTTAAAGTAACAAAAGAAATACACAATCATCACACATTTATTCTCTCAGTTCAATATTACACGTAAAACTCAAATGATTATGACAAAACACACTATAAGGTTTGACAAAATTAAATTGTGTGGAGATACCAAAATTATCCATCACCAATCAACAACCATCATTTTTAAAGGGGTGTCAAAAAATGAGTGCATAAGATGTCTTACTGAAACATCTACTGTCTTATTCTGCCATTTGTGATTGGCTGTCATATTCTGTGCCTCCATTGTGTATAAATTTTCTTTATTTTTCTTTGCTATTTGTTGGTCTAATTTCGGGATGTGTCTTTTTCTTGTGGATTTGATAACTTTTCAGGGTGAGGTATCTGGTGTCAGCTTTCATGGGGAAGATAAATTCACACGTAACTTGAAAGACATATCAGAGCAGGCTTCAAGAATCACACAAGGATTTTTTTTCTGTAGTGTTCTTTTTAGATTTGCACGACATTCCACTAACTAGACAAGTCTTTGTGCTTCTTATTTTCTGCTGTGGTGTCAAGAAGTGGCAGATCTAAAAATATATTTTTTTAAATTCTACCCAAAGGTGCAATGGAGAAATATCACTCTACTTTAGCATTTATTTTACCATTAGAAATTCTCTTTTTTCTGCATATGTAGACAGATCATATAGAAAAGAGTTGAACCAATTAAAAGTCTCATTGCTATAACGTATCACTTTCCACTTTGAAAGCAAGTTATATGGTGCATGGCTGAAAGTATCAAGTGATCTATATTGGACTACTTGCCCTAAGACTTGTGACGCACCTTGAAGTGATAATGCTCTCTGTGCAATGCTTATGTTTTGTAGTCTATTGGATTTTGGAGAAACTGCTCAGAAAAAAAGTGTGTTTATAGCTTTCAGAGACAGCAGAAGGTATATGGCCCATACTGTTGTGTTCCGCTGTGTTCATTGTCTGCAACATTTAATGGAATTTTATGTTTTAACAGTTATCCTGTCTTGTCGAGACAGTTTGTGTCCCATCGGCAACTCTAATGTTTTCAGTAAACATTTTAGCAGTGATCAGATTATTGAACAGCAGATGATCAGAGGAAGTTAGTAAGCTGTGGTGTGCTGATGCTTTTTGCCAGGAATGACTACACAGTTAAAGCACCGCAGCCCAGTGTGTGGGAGAGGAGAGAGAGGCGTGCCACAGAGACATCTGCTGTACGTGTTGATTTCAGATTGGGCTGTGTATATACAAAGCTGCACAAAATTTAAACTGAAAGGACAGCTTGCTCAACAGTGCTTTGGCTGTTTTTTTTGCAAATACGGTGCACATCGATGACGTTGAACTTGGAGAGATCCTGGAGACAGTGGGTGTAGAAAACGCAAAAACTGAACTTATGAGGCAGCACGGTGTTCGCAGCCCACCAGTGACCTTCCTGGAAGGAGGGTCCTGTTCTCCCCGTACTTTCTCCCCGAACAAATTCCTGTTCTCCCCGTACTTGTGTAGGATTCCTACAGGGACTCCGGTTTCCCCCACAATCCCAAAAATATTGAATAATATAAATTCCCCTTAGGTGTGAATGCGTGAAGGAATGCCCAGGGTGACGTGTTCAATGTGTGCTGGAGATAGGCACCAGCAGACCCCTGTGACCCTGAAAAAAGGAAATAAGCAGGTTGGAGAATTAATAAACTTAAAGAATTAATGAGGATTTTTATAAACATTTCCAGTGTC